ACCCACGGGCTGAGTCGGGGTGGGACTGCATGAATTTTACGTTGACATAGAAGACGTTCTTTCTTTTTCTTATGCACAGCCTCAGTTCCCTCACCTTATATTGTGTCTTGTTGCGCCAGAAGAAATCAAGTATATGCTTGCGTGGGTGAGTGCTTACGCGCGTTGAGTGACGCCATCTAGGAAGTGGGACGGAGACGAATTGCGACAAGCCGAGGTGGTGCATAACAAACAAAGACGTGGGGCACCATATGAGGCAACTTCACTTCCGTAGATGTGAGTGCCGTTGCGTTTGCACCATTAACAAATCTGGTTTTGCCTGACTGCAACTATCACCTCTTGGATAGCAAGTTCGACGATGCTCTCTGCTTTGGGAGGTGATTGTGTAACCGTCCCAGACATGTCGACATCAACAAGACTGCGCAAAATCGCGAAGAAGTTTGGTAACCAAGCAAATGCAAGCAATTGATCTTGCACTGTTCTGATCTGGTGTCCCAGGCGTGTATTTTACGAGTTTTTTCTTTCTGCGATTATGTCAGCGCTTCATGTTAAAACGTATTAAACAATTTAGCTCTTTCAACGAGGGCCTAGATATATGCACATACTCGTGTGTGTTCCCAATATATTGCGTACATTGGGAATAGTATCGCAAGATAGTGAGCGCAATGGCTGAAAAAATTATGCAAAGCACACTTCGGAAGCAGAAATCCGGAGCCTTACGAACAGGGTTTGACTTCAGTACGATACAGCTAAATGTGGAAAGGAAAAGTATAGGTGTATTTTTTAGGGACAACAAGACAGCAGGGTGTATCAAGGAACGAATCGGTGTTAAGGACATCTTAGTCGAAATTAAGAGAAATAAATGGGCATGAGCAGTCTATAAAGCGCAAGAGCAAGACCACTAGATATTAAGAGCGACAGGCTATATTCCAAGAGAAGGCATGTATGAGACGGTGACACAGATAGTTTGGCAAATGATACAAAGCAGTTCACGGGGATAATGTGGCCACCGCAAGCACCAGAACAGATTGATTGCGAAGCCCTATAGATTCCTTTGCCCTACAGTATACAGGCATAGTCACGATGATGATGATGCTGCTGATACAGTAGAGAAAACATGTTTGCACATTCGGCCGAACATTAACATAGGTAAATAATTATGACGAACAAATTACAGGGTTGTAAGTGAATCTGCCACGAAAATTGTTGGAACTCATGGATCTATACCCTTATGGAGACAACCATTTTTCACGCGATATCGTTGAAGAGCTCGTTTGGCGGCAATGCTGGTATCGATGGTGCCTTTGATTGTTAGCGAAAATTTGAGATAGATGAAAATAGAGGTAGGAACCAGAAGGCATTTGCACCTAGTCCTTTTTTTTCGGGTAATCTGAAGTTTCCAGCATTCGGCGAAGGTCGGCTGGAAATTTGGAAGGCGATATCGTGCGCGCTTGTGTGTCTGTTAGTGTATGTGGTTCCTAAAATGAACAAAGTGAACCATCTGTTCTTTAGTGGTAAACTTTGATAATTTCACTAGGTGAACTGGCAAAGCCTGACATCGTATGGCGCTGCTTCTAACGCGTCTCATTCATAAAATGCAAGCATTGCAATCAGTCGACCAAATGCCCACGAGCCTAACAAACCATGCTGCAGAGTGGGCGGTTTCACTCGCAATGCAGTCGCTTTTGTCGGATGCCGTATTGCTGTGGTGGCGCCGCTGGCTCTCATGTTGCAGTGTTCTGCAAGAGCCCACTAAGCCAGTTGTCCATTTTAGCCTGTTCTGATCTGCTACAATTCAAAAGCCAGCGGTGCGCAGCCATTCGTGACGGCCGGCTACAATCTCAATATAATCAACGCACGTTAAAATAGCTAATAAGCATAGTAGCTCTAATAAATCTATGTGCTCGTGCATTGATGCAACATATGTTTGTCGGGTAATAAACTCCGTCTTTTCTCAGTAACGATAACGTTGCATTGCTGCGAATGAAGCTGTTCATTGAAGCACAAACTGCATTCATTTTGAAAGAAGTCAGTATCTTAATCAGCCGCTTACCGCACAATGAATGAACTGGCGTGTTATATGAAACAGCAATAAATAGTAGTAAAGAGACTTCACTATTCACACCAAGATCACTGGTATTGACAAATGCAATCAAAGTATTATACACCTGTTTGAGAAGTAATTCCAGATGTTAAGCAGAGATGTTATGAGTTGCATTCCTTACAGCAGCCTTTACTATAGCGAGCACTCACGTCAGAGACTATTCATGGCAGGGGTGAAGCCAACATTTTTTTTTGTGGGGGGGGGGGGGGGGGGGAGTAAAAAGACGGTGTTCAAGCACACACAATATATGCTTGTGCATGCGCTTCTATACGCACGTGTATAAACACGCAAGCCAAATTCAAGACTTTTGAGGAGTGATACGGCATGAGACAAACACGACTGCACTGCGAGCGAAACCATCCACTCAGTCGCAAGGTTAATTTGGCTCGTGGGCATTTGGCCGACAGATTGCGAAGTTTGCATCTAAAGAATGAGACGGGTTTAAAGCAGCGAAATATGATGTGATGCTTTGTCGGCCTGGCTCGCCAAACGAATGGACAAAATTTACCATTTAACTACAGATAGTTTATTTATATTCTTTTAAGAACACATGCACATACGCACGTGCGTGTACAACCGCAAACACACACACACACACACACACACACACACACACACACACACACACAGTTTCATGGGAAAATTGTTTTACCCCCGCCTCCCCACCTTACAATAATAGAGTAACGTCAGTGATTCAGAGCAAATTTTCAGTTGCATGTAGACGTCGGAGAAAATGAGGCAGCATTCGTTCAGAATGTCTGCAAA